TAAATAACTGAAAAAATTTAAAAAAATGACCTCCACCTCCCTGGCTAATAAAACAGAGAAACCTGGTTTCTAATGATGACAGCTAAGAGGTTAAACCATCTGAGGTAATACACAGGCTTTGGGAAAGCAAGGGCTAGCACAGACCTTTTCCACAACGACACAAACAATAATTAGACAAAATGAACCCTTCAGTGTTGCCTGCAGGGACTAGGCGCATTCCCATCTGGTCTCTAAACCCAGTTCAGAGGTGTCCTCCGTGAAGCCTTAACAGATTCATCCCCACCTCACCCACAAACCACACACTCTTCCCTTCCTTCCGCAGCAGCAAATCTCACAGCTCTTCTTCTGAGGATGGTTTAAGCGCATTTGAAAAGCACATCTGTCCTGTGTAATGGGTCGTTGTGTTACACATCTGTATCTTTGGGTCCCTCAGCCATGAGTCCTTCCACTTTAAAATAAGGTCAGGATAATTCTTGCCCCATCAGCCTGACTGAGTCTTAGGGAGATATTAACATACACATAGAGACACAAAGTAGATAAAACACTACACCTAGGTTAAGAAAAGTTGGCTCCATGCCCCAGGAAAACTGGCCACAGTGTCTTGTGCACAGACCCTCAGCTATGGGAAGAAGTGCTTGAAGCAGCACGACAGTTTAGAGCTCAGACTGGGTGGTTCCTTGCTGGCTCCACCCTGTGACAAGCTTGCCTATCTGGGAAACCACTTACTCTACCATCATGTTCCTCTCTGCCCTTCTGTAATATGAAGAGGCAGGATGCCCTCACCTTCACCCAGCTGTAGTGGTACTGGAAGGAGGCTGCCCCCCACCTCCTGAGGATCATCCTCAGCTAGAAAGAGGGGAGAGACTGATATCCCCCCCCCGCTATTGGTTCTGAACTCTCCTACTCCCCTGAGATGGTTGCTAAGATTCACATAGTATGGATAAGGAAATAGGTCAGAGGGAAATGGAGGAACCTACCTTATCCTTCCTTGTCAGTCTTTTGACTAGGAAGTGGGGGAGCCCAGGTTCTGCTGACCTAGCCTGGGTTAGGACCTTTGTCCTGCAGCCAAAGGGAACAGGATGCAAACCTTTCTCCCAGTGTTGTCTCTACTGCCTTCCAGATGCCTGGCTTCAAGGTGATTCCAGAACAGGACCTGAGGCAGTTGCTGTAGTCTCAAGTGTTTTGCTCCCTTCAGTAACCAATGAGCCTTGGATTAAGCAACTGAATATTTACCCAGCCCTACTTTGATCCCAACAGACTGGGACCCTGGACACTAAAACGGCATCCTTTGACTCAGGATGGGAGAGCCCTAAAGGGGTATAGGTACTGTTGCAGGCAGAACTGAGTCCATAGATGAGTGGGTTTTCCTGGGATGGTGGCCTCTCTACCTGTGGTTTTCAAAAACCATCTTTCCCGAGGTGATCACTAAAGTCCAATGTAAGGTCTGGGACCCCATCCCCACCCACCTGGGGAGTGGTAACCGATGGAGCAAACACAGGAAAACACTACATCTGTCACCTCTGTGGAGGCTGCAGAATTCTTGTAAGCAGTCCAAAGGGCCAGCTACTTTGTCCTCCCTTCAGAGCACCTACCACCCCTCGTCGTCCAAGGCTTACAACAGAAGAGGCTCAAGATCAACCCAGACATTCCACTGGGGCCTCTGAGCCTTGGACCTCTCCACTTCAGCCCAGGCAAGGCCCAAGGAGACCACAGTATCAACTGTTACCTGGACTAGCCCCTGTCCACCTCTACCATCAGCAGACAGTGGAGGCACAGAAAATAAACAGCAGGAAAGATTGGCCACGGGTCCAGCAGGTCCAAAGAAGGAGGGCTTGAAGCTTCAGGCCAGCAAGAGAAACAGCAGAGGCGGAAGGGGGCTGCCAGAAACACAGAGCTACTGTGCTCCAAAAAAGACAGACTGTGTTGGAAGGAGCAGCCCACAGACCAATTTATTGTTTATTTTATTACTCTGGGTTGCTGGGCCTTAGGCCAGGGAAGTTATTTCAGGCAGAGATCATAGCACGTTTAATTAGTTATTAGAAGAATGTCCTTTCTGTGTGATTCTTCCCAAGACAAGACTTCATGGCAAGCACACAGAACTGAAAGTGGATGGACAGTCAGGAGCCAAAAAGCCAATAATGACGGGGAACCAAGGGGACAAATCCTTGGAAAAGTTTTCATCTAGGTTCAGACAGAGATGGGAAGGCTCCTAAGAACTAGATAGGGATGTAGTTCCTGGGGGTGGGGTGATAGTACCATCATCTTGGAAGGCAATTGCAGAATGTGACTCAATACAGAAAGGTTTTTTTTTTATTGTTAAATATTTATGAAAAATGCAGCATAACCTCTGGCCTAGTAATTCTGCTTTTGGGAAGCTCTGAAACAAAACAAAACCAACCAACAAAAAAAAAAAAAAAAAAAAAAAAAGGCTAATCTATAGGGAAGACACTATGCCGGATAATTTTGCAGCAGCAAATAAATTAGAAACAACCAGAGATGCTCAAAACTAAGAAACAAACTAAGAAACAACTACCTATGAAATAAATTGTATCTATGTGAAATATTATGTAGCCAATAAAATGAAGATTACGGGGGCATATTCACACTATAACTCTAAATAAAAAAACTCTAGCCTACAAAATTACATTCATGGCATGACTATAACAGAGTATAGCTGTAAGTACAGGAAAGGCAAATATATTATTTTAAATGTTTTTTTTTCCTGAGTTATTGGTTATGCACAGTTTCTTTTTCACGTTTATTCTCATCTTTTCTTTCTAATAATAAATGAAACTGTTGGATTTAATGAGAAGAAAGAAAAATGTGTGGTTTGGTTTGGGAAAACCCTTGTGTTACAGCCCCCCTTGCCCAGCCGGATGACTCTCTTTCTAGAGGGGAAACATCTTTGGGTGTGTGAGCTAAATTCAGTTACTGCCATGAGTGGGAAGGGAGGCCCCTTGGACTAGGAGGATAAGAAAGAGGAGGGCTTCGCCTTCCTTAGCCTTCTGTCTCCCTCAGATAAGCAATAATGGGGGGGGCACCTCATTCTGCCATTTTCTCAGACCTAGTAACAGCCAGTGATGACTCAGGCGAAATCAGGAGGGCATCTCACACAAAGGCACTGAAACCTCTCTGCTGCTTTGTGACCCTGCTCTTCAAAACTTGCCTTTCTTTCCTTCCCATTTCCCAGGGGCTGGGAACTCCCCGGAGCTGGGGCCCTGGAGAGGCTCAGACACCTAAGCTACCTTCTTGCAAGTGCCCTTGCTATGGCAAGGAGATGTTCCAACAGCTCAATGTCCTCAGAGTCTTGACCAAGGATGAACAGAGGGTCAGGGCTTTCTTGTGGAAAGCCCAGAATAGTTTGCAGATATCCCACACTGGCCCTGAGGTGTAAACCCAGTAGGGTAGAGGCCACTGCTCACAGAGGAACCTGTGTGCACAACCCAGGAATCTCTAATTGGTATCAATAGGTGTTAACTAAAATTAAGGGCTGATCTTGAACCCAAGATTCTCCCTCTGTGTTCCCAGTTAAATCCACTCAACACCACAGGTAAATTTAGGGTACACACATAGTTTTCTAAAGAGAGCTCTAAAGCTTTTATTAGATTTTTTTTTGAAAAAGAAAAGTGATTTAGAGTTTTTAAAAAGTGAAAAAGCAATGGATTCGTCTCTCATGTTTAAAATATATCAGAGTTCACAAGCCATGACCCCCAGTCCCTCACTTTAGCAATCATTTGACCTGGCAAAACTGCAGGTTAAGTTTACAGCCGAAGACTGTCCATTCTACAAAGGCAAATGACTTGGCACTCTGTTCAGACACAACAGGTTAGCATGACACACATACACTGCTCCCAGAAGCTTAGCACTGGAGAAAATTAGTACCTAGAAAATTAGTCACCAGGTTGTCAACTCCGCTGCTCTCCTCACCAAAGCACATGCTCTGTACGTCACGGATGCCAACCCAGGAGCAAGAGGACCGCTGCTTTCAAACCCCCTGCAGATGGGCACCCCTGGGCTCTGTGAGGACACCAGACCTGTAAGAGTGCGACTCTCAGCCTGGAGGGCCATAAGCACTCCCCAACATTTGAAAACAGCAGCCCAGCCTTGCGGATTGTACACACTGAAGGTGGAGAGAGGCCTGTTCTTCAGAGTTAGGGATGTTTCCGACCCTGATGGGAAAGACACGGTCTCCTCTCTGAGTGCCTGCATACTTCTTGAGGGTGCCCCCAGCCCCCAAATTCTATCAGTCAAAGGAAAGGAAGACTCACGATTAAAATTACAGACATTTAGCTGACATTTCCTCACCTGTACCTAGGGCTGCATCCGAGGTCTGTAGCCACACTGGGAGGCTCTCAACAGTCACTTAACCTCCCCATCACCTCTGCTATCTCGCCTGCAAAGTCAAGGGGCTGGATGAAGCATGTCAGTATGTCCTTTACTTTGGAGTCTTAATTATTACTGAGCGACTAAGAACACAGAAGGAAACCTATTAAAACTATTCTGCTTCTGCGCTCCACATCTTTTGAGTCTCTTAAAAGACACGCCTAAAAGCTCTGTCAGAGAGAAGGAAAAACGATTTAAAAAAAACCAAGTGGCCTCAGGGTCCCCAGTCCGCCCCTATTCCCAGGCCTGTGTATTGCCATGGGAACGACTCAGCTGCAAAGGTAAGTCTCCCCTGTGTATTGCCGAGCCCTTAGGAAGACAGGAGGTGAGGTCCTAGCCAAAGGGAGGGCTGTGTATAACACCTTCCCTGCGTGAGGTGTCTGGCTCCTTCTGCACCTCCGTTTCACGATGTACAGAACAGACAACAGGGATGATTCTTAATTTGGATGCTTCAAACTGACCACAGGCTAAGAACAGCGGGAGAGACATCACGTAGGACTCACTGGGCACTTGGCAGCAGGGTCAACTTTGGAGACCTCCCACAGGAATTTCTTCAGAACCCTTAATGGAAGACTTTCCAGGCCACCCTGAAGGCACAGCACCCTGCTGCAGCTCACCTGATGAAGGTGGTCTTGCCAGTCGAGTACTGGCCCACCAACAGCACCATGGGCTTGTTGTCGAAATCTGCATCCTCCAGGGCCGGCGAGTGGAACTCGTGGAAACGGTAATACTCTTCCAGGGGCAGCAGCTTGGTCTTGTAGAGTTTCTTGAGCCCCTCACTCACCGTCTGGAAGACCTCAGGGTCCTTCTTGCGGCGATCATCGCTACCCAGCCAGCTGAACATCGTGGCAGCCTGGGGAAGGCTCCCCGGAGAGACACCCGCCTGGCTTGAACAGCGCCTCCTCTCCTGCCACCTTACCGGAGCACTGGGCTCAGATGCACCATGGCCCGGGCTGCCCCAACTGCTGGACCCAGCCCAGTCCCTGCTTCATCCGCAGATGGACTGAGGAGGAGGATGCTGCGGGCTGAGCCAGGAGACCTGCAACCTTGGAAACTAAAGGCGAATCTGCCGGGAAGCCGTTGTGAGGGTCCTGGGTCTCTCCAGATGCGTGTCTAGGGGACGCTCGGGCTCCGCTACGGCAGTGGGGAGCAGCCCACACAACTCCGCAGCAGCAGCAGCATCCCGCCGCCCCCGGCTCGCGTTTAAATGCTAGACGTGCAGGAAGTCCGGAGAACTGGCAAAGCTCGTTCTGGCCCCACAGTCCGGGCGACGCGAAGCCGAGCAGGGCGCCGCCATGTCTGTGGGCAGGCGCTCTGCGGCCGCGCAGGACTGCGAAATGATGCTGCCAGAGTCCTGGTGGAAAGCACTGGCATTTCTTTCCCAGCCCTGGGGATTTGACTTGGGAGCAGCGCCCTCTCAAGGATGGCGACTAAGACAGCCTTGACCTACTCCACCTGTTTTGAGACCCAGGTCCATTGGTTACTGAGGTCAGTTCCCTTGGGGACATTAGTTCTGGAGACTATTTATTTGGGGCAGGGAGCGGGGACAGGGAGGAAACTCTACCGTATTTTCCCTGGGGCATGGAAAGAAGGTGCCCCTGACAGGTGACATAAAATAACCAAAAATACCAGTAACTAAACTTTTTACCTGGCCTGGGGTGAAGTCAAAATGGTCTGCCTCCCTCCCTGTTTTCCTTCCTCGTTCCCTATAAAACTGGTAAACCCAGCAAACCTCATACAGGCAGAGAGTGTTAAGGGCAGCGACCTAATTTGCACAACTACGTACAAGTACAAAGCTGAGACTTTTAGGAGATGAAGCAGACACGAGAGAGGGACATGAAAAAGGGAATCACCTTTTGTTTTTTGTGGTCAGTTTGAAGGCATCATGGAAACGGCCGTGAGCTGGATCATCGAGGATGAACAGAGAGAAGGGTGGAAGACATTTGAGACTAAGTAAAAAGCCTTTATTTAAACAAACAAACAAACAAACAAACAAACAAAAAAAGAGGAAGAAAAAGGAGGCCTTGGTGAATCCGGAGCAGTGTTAACAGTTAGTTCAAGAATGTGGAAGAGAGGATCGTGGAATTGATGATTGAGAACTGGGCATGAAAGGGTGTGCAGACCAAGACAGGAGCCAAACAAGAAATGGGAACCCCTCCCCCCCAAAACATATCATTACCAATAATTTCTGTATTAACAAAACGCTCACCAAATGCAGGGGCTGGTGAGATATAAGAAAACCTGCGAGCTCTCGATTTCATAGCATCCCTGTGGGGAAGATCATATCATATCATCTCCAGCAATGCCAAGGACCGTGGTGGAACATCAGTCCGCTGCGGCAAAAGGTAGGGCAACAACGATGAGCAAACGTAATGGCAGTATTAAAACTGCTCCAACCAGTGTGATGGCAAATCGTTCCTCCCCACTAAGGCAGAGAGCTCCCACTGCCCTCCCTTCAGCAGACAAGACAAGTCGCCAATGGACTGGGTGGGGCTGGGGAGTCAAGGAGCATCATCTGGAGGTTTGGAGGCCGGGGGAAACTGTCCAGAATGCAAGGAACAGCAGCAATGGGAGAGGAGAAGAGGTTACGGTCAAGAGACTCTGGCGTAGCCATGAAGGAGGAAAGGATTATGACCCAAAGCCTAGGGCGATTTCAGATTTTCTACCACTGGGAAACAGACGGTTGGAAAAGCTCTTGCATTGACTGAGGAAGTTGGCAGGGTCGTAGAATGAGGATATGTTTGAGCCTCTGTGGGTTGCCCATGAAACAATCCTGTTGGAGTGGCAGGTGGAGGGGTGTGCTGACAGTATGAGGTTTCTGTGGGGACCATCTGAGAAGGTGCTGAATAGAATTTCCTTAGCTCAGGTCCCCTGACACTGTTGTTGAACTCCAAAGTGGACTGTCTTCTTCTGAGCAGTGTGGCCAGATCTGGGAAACCACTTAGATTCAAAGTTTATGTTAGTGCCGACATGTGAACCCAAGAGGCAATATTACAGACATTTGGGTGGCACAGGGGTGCAAATTCCAACTGGGTTCTCTATGAAAATTAACAAGGTGGAGCTAAGGTGTATATGAAGCACAAATAGCTTAGTCCACTCACAAGAAGGATAATGAGGAGGGGGAGGAAGAGGAGGAAAACAACAGTGAGAGCAACAGCTCAGTATAACTGGCCATGGTGAGGCATGTTCACAGCTGCAGTAACATGATGTGCTTTCAGCATAGAGGTAGACCAATACAGTGGTGACGGTCAAAATGCCTGCAAACACAGAAACCTGATAGAGGAAGAAGCTGCCGCAGGGAATGCGGGTATGGCACGGTAGGTCAAGAAGAAACCCTTAAGCAAGACACCCAAAATACAAACAAAAAGAACAGTAAGTTTCGAACTAGTAAAAATTAAGAGGGCTGAAGTAGAAGAATCACAAGTTCAAGGCCGAGGGCTAGAGAGAGAGATCAGTAGGTAAAGCCCTTACCATGAAGCTGGGGGATGGGACTTTGGATCCCCAGATCTCACGTAAAAGCAGTGTGTGTGTGTGTGTGTGTGTGTGTGTGTGTGTGTGTGTGTGTACTAACTGTAATCCCAGCACTCAGGCAGAGACAGGGCATTCCTTGAGGAAGGTGTCTAGTCCACCTTAGCCAAAACTGCAGACTCTGGCTTTAGAAGAGACCCTGCCTCAGAGCATAAGGTGGGGAGTGATGGAGGAAGCACTCAGTATTGACTTCAGTCCTCACATGGATGCATACATGCACTCAGACTTAGCGTTCCACATGTGTGCCCACAAACAAGCAAACACACATATGCACATTTGTGTATACCAGTTACACATGTACATGTGAAAGAACGTTCAGGGCTCGTGCTACAGAATGAGTTCCAGGTCAACCCTGCCTCAGAAACTTCAACAGAGGGAGGGAGGTATAGCTCAGTGGAAAAGCACCTACCTAGAATGTACAAGGCCCTAGGTTCACTATCCAGTAACACACACGCGCGTGCACACACACACACACACACACACACACACACACACACACACACACGACATTCCACTAGGAAAATTAAAAATAAAATTCCATTGACAAAAGAAGCTACACGAGTGTCCTACAGGTATTAGAAAATATGGTGCATCTTATTCATAGTTGAAGAAATGCCAACACACAATAACAAAATGGCAGGACACAAGAAAGCTGTACAGTCCTGAGCGCTGGAGAGCAAACAGGAAAAGCAGCTCTCACACAGCACCAGCGCATGGCAGATTGAACCAACTGCTTTGGAACAACCTGGCATCATCTAGTAAAACTGAACATGGCATGTTCTCCTACCTACCAGTGTCCTGCAGCTTCACTGAAATTTTTATGCAGAGAAAAATCTACCATGTACACATGAGATATAAGGGTAAGAATGTTCGTGGTTGCATTATTCTTAACAACCAAAAATTACAGCAAGCAAAAGTGCCTGGAAAAACGCGTGGCTAGAAGGAGCCACGCTCATGCAAAATGAATATTGTACTGATGAGTGGGGAGTGAATGAAGCCAGAGGTATGCTGCTGCTGCTGCTGCACAGAGGCTAATTCCATTTCGCTAAACTTCAATGAGCATGCTTGCGTGGGTGGGTGCGTGCGTTCGTGTGTGCGTGCGTGCAGGCACCTGCTGCACCCAGAAGAGGAAGTCAGACTCTCAGGGGCTGGAGCTACAGATGATCGTCATCCTCCTGATGTTGGTACTAGGAAGTGAACTCTGGTCCTCTGGGAGAGCAGCAACTGCTCTTAATCTCTGAGCCATCTCTCTAACCCCATTCTTTAAGGTTTTAGTTGTGAGTGAAACCTTACCCTGTCTTTTGTGTGAGTCATATATACGGACATTGGTTTTTAGAGAGAAAAATAAAAAAATGTGGACTATTCTGAAGAGTGTTGTCTGTTGGGGACAGAGAATGGAATTAAGGATGAGTATATAGAGGGTTTTCACTGTATCTGTAATGTTTTAGTTCTGAAATTGGATTATGGTTAATTGATGATTGATTTATTAGTCTCTTGTCCGTCCTTTATTTTAAAACATTTGGTCCTTGGATGCGCAAAATTGGAAAATTTTCACAGTTGTGGGTACAAACAAACTAGAACTGACTTCTGTGTGTTTTTTTAAAACATATTTTAACACTATAACAAATCTCTGGTGAGTGCATCTAGTCCAGAAATCAGAAAAAACAGCAACTATAAAAATAGCGTGTCTGTTCCCTTCCTGTCCTTTGCCGCTTCTTCTCCATTCCTAGATATATCCATATCTTGAACTGAGTATGTATTATTACCTTACTTTTAAAGTGAATTCTCTCTCTCTCTCACACACACACGCACACGCTTGGAGGGCATCTTAGTTCAGTTTTCATTTAGGACTTCATAGAGAGCATCCCACTCCCCGCAGTTCCCTTGGAACTCAACATGTGTCCCACCCAGCGTTTTACAGTAGCATTTATTTCTAAATCTTCTTGCTCCAACCCAGTAAGCAACCCCTATGCTGACCATATGTGTGTGAGGGAGAGTGCATGTGTGTGCACATGGAGGGTGCCCAGCCACACCACCTATGACAGATTCCTTGCCTGCTTGGTCTTTGATATACAACTCTGAAGGCAAGAAGCTTTGTGTTCAGAACTCAGCTCTCTAGTTTGCAAAGAAGAGATGGTGGCAGCATTGTTTGTCTGGATTAAAGGAAAGAATGCTTAAAGCATGCTTAGCTCAGTGCCTGATCTAAGACTGTCTCTCTGTATCATTAGCTCTTCAGTGTAATCACTACAACTTTTATTCATGTCATGCTACTGCCCTGTATCGTGTCTAATAAGCTACTTAATAAGCCACTGATAAGGTTAATGCTCGATAACTTTAATATTTAATGCATTACTTAATAAGCTAGCACCTAATAAGCTATGAGCAGCTCCTTCTGGTTCGTTTGTGTTCTAACTGAGGGTGGCTCATTGGCTCCGAGGAATATAATTGCTAATAGTGGGAGCTGTGGCATTTGTGCAATCGTTTGGGGATGTCACTATGAAATGGGCCTTTCTCTATTCCTTTCTCTTCTCTTTGGCACCAAGACCACCAACACTGGACAGACATAAAGGGAGAAGATGAGAAAAGGCAGCAGCAATTTAGAATGGCAGCTTGAGTCCTGCTGGGGTAATCAAGAAGTACCACCCAGGCACGGTCACCCCAAATCAGAACAACGTTTCGGTGCCACTCACTTTGTTACCACCCCACCTCCGCAGCCCCGTGAGCCTCCTGGAGCCTCACATTCGAATAAACAAGGGTCTTTCTACTAAGACTCCTGCTTCTACCATGCATGGTTCCTTAGAAGCCCTGCCCTCAGTACATCATTCCTCCATTTTCCGTCTCTCTGATGGGCTATATCAGGCTCCACTCCACTCTTCAGTGTCTGTTCTGAAGAGCTGAGCCGGCAGCATTCCTACAGAAGTAAACTGTTCTCCTCCTTCTCTCTGTTTCCAAGCCACTTCACACGATCCCCATGATGTTATTCATCCCATTTCATTGTACATGTATTTTGAAGCCACTTATCCTCCAAGTGGTCAGTGTATGCCTCCCATCTGGTACCATATTTTACCACCTTAAAAAAAAATCTGTTACAGGAGAAAAATGCCCTGGCTAGCCAGTTGCTCCTGCTGAGGATCATATGAGTATGAGTTGTGTTAGTCCGAGTTGTGACGCCATAACAGAATACCCCAGGCAAGGCGATTCAGAGTGAATATAAATTTATATGCTTATAGTTCTAGATTCCAAAAAGTCTAAAAGGCAGTCAACTGTCAAGGTCCTTTTTGCTACATTGTACCATGAAGGAAGGTCAAAGAGAAGTTGAGAGAATAAGAGATTAAATTTGAAGCCTCCAGCCTTTTTGTAATCAGCAGCAATTCATTTACAAGAAGAGGAGTACTGTGGACCTAAACACCTGCCATTATATCCCCAATGACTACTCTACGCCCAACCCCTGACAGTTCTGCATTGGGGATTAAGTTTTCAATACACTTGGTTGGGAGGCAGGTGGAACATATCCACCTGTGTCACCTCTGTTATGAGAATGTCCTCACATGTGTAACCAGGCCTAATATTGATAATTCACAATGTTGTCAGGAGAATAAAGTAAATCTGCTAGATCAATACAATTTCATAAATCCATGGCAAATCCTCAACAAACAGTAATTTACTTCCTTTCCAATAAGTGAATACTTACACAGGGAGGGAAGCCTGTGATAGAAATAATGAAATGGAGAATTTTACCACTGTGTTGACTAGTTTTATGTCAACTTGACACAAGTTAGAATCCTTTGAAAGGAGGGAACTTCAATTGAGAAAATGCCTTCACAAGATCCAGCTGTAGGGCATTTTCTTAATTAGTGATTGATAAGGGAGAGGCCAATCTATTGTGGGTGGTGTCACCCCTGGGCTGGTAGGCTCAGATTCTAAAATAGTGGTTCTCAACCTGAGGGTCGTGACCCCCTTGGGGGTGGCATATCTGATATTCTGAATATCAGATGTTTATATTATAATTCACAATCAGTAGCAAAGTTATACTTATAAAATAACAAAAAAATAATTTTATGGTTGGGGTCACCACAACATGAGGAACTATTGCAGCATTAGAAAAGTTGAGAACTACTACTGTATAAGAAAACAGGGTGACCAAGCCATGAGGAGAAAGCGAATAGGCAGCAACCCTCCATGGCCTCTAACAACAGCTCTTGCCTCCAGGTTCCTGCCCTGTTTGAGTTCCTTTCCTGACTTCCTTCAATGATGGACTACAATATGGGAGTGTAAGACAAATAAACCCTCTCCTCAACTTGCTTTTTGGTCATTTGTGTTTCATCAGAGCAATAGAAACCCTAACTACGACAACTTTATAAACCTGAAGTTTACAAACCTGAAAGCAGACCAAGAAAGCTCAGGTTGAGCCCAGCTGCCCAAATGCCCAGAAAGAATATTTCCCATATTAGTCATCTCCTCGACATCCTACTTAGCAGCTGTTGGGGGTACAAGATGATGTCATCCTGTTACCCCAGGGACAGCAGAGCAGCAGTCACCTGGGAAGCCCACCATTTCAAGGAGGAAGGTCTAACCCTGGGAGGCTGTGGGGTATATCTAGTTTTATGAAAACGCTTGCTGAGTGAGCTCAGTTTTCTCTCTGAGAAGCTCAGCTTCCAAAGGTGGAATATTTGTAACCAATGAGACATGTGAGTCCTAACTAGAGAACCTCTTCTTCACCTCCACCATCACACCCTGCCTTGGTGACACACGTGTTTACACAGAGAAGGGGAGCCTTTAAATTCTCACATCAATCTCAAAGGGGAAGGGAGAGATACTAAAAGAGGGAAATTCGAGCCCAGGGAGGCAGAAAGCTTTGCCTCCCCAGGGATACCCTCTCTTGAGCAATCTTTCATCCTGGCTGCTTTCCCCTTGCCCTTTAGTTTAGCAAAAGCTCCAGCATTTTAAGAAGTAAATTAACGGTTGAGGCAGCAGCTATGGGAGAATAGGCAGGTGCAATGTGAGTGGAGAGGAGCTTATGTGTCCAACCTAAAATTGGCTAGTTGTGAGCAGAGACTGCCGCAGCTCCTCCTCCTCTTCTTTTTCTTTTTCTTTTTCTTTTTCTTGGTCTTGTTCTTCTTGTTTTTGCTCTTCTTCTTCTTCTTCTTCTTCTTCTTCTTCTTCTTCTTCTTCTTC